GTTCTTAAAGTTATTTTTCCTAACATAGAACAGTAAATAAAGAAGTAAAGCAAACAGTTATCTCTTCTAGTTATGACCTTTGTACTCAGTTGCTGCTTGACGTGGTTTGCTAAGCCTTTTAAAATTTTGCACTTGGATGATATGAGACAAAATCTTTTTTTAGGTTTATATATACAGTTGAATAATCAAAAAATCATAAATTACTATATTGATGCCATAGAATTCTACTATAATTTACCAAATGCAGTAACTAAGCTGTATTTGGGTCTGAAAAAAATATGAAATTTCGAGCAAACTAAAGACACAACCTACCTCATTGAAATCTTGATTTAAAAGAGAGAAATGACACTAGGTACGTTAGAAAGGCTTAGAAAACTACTAGGGGGACATTCTGAGCTTTGGATTGGTTATTCATGTCATATATAGAAGTAAGTGTTTATAAGGGAGCATTTCCAAAAATGGGAGGAGGTAAGCGGGGTGCCACTATGTTTGATTTATTACATGAGCAATATAAGCAAGATAAGACCTTATTTTATATTTTAGCTTGTCAATATCTGCAATTTGAGTTCCTAATTCGCATGAAACTATAGATTTAGTATTTTGACTTCACAAACATCTAATTTGAACCAGTGTTGCATTCATCATACCATGTGACACACAAACATCAATGTTTATCTGTTTTTTTTATATTTCCTTTTAAATTAACATATTAACTAATGTATAGTTCTAAAATTTGAATTATAATCTACAGTTTGATACCAAACTTATTGACATAAATTCAAGAAATAGTAGTTCAATAAAATTTTGAATGTGAGTCAACAAACGAGATGACATGGCCTTTCACCTGTGACCCGTATCGAAAAGATTAAACAATGACGTGTGTGCTTTGGCTACTTTTCAGACTCTGTGCTTTAATCCACTTTTTAAAACAAAACGAATTTTTTGCTATAATTCTATACCAACCAATGTGCCACAACAACTTCACATGCATAGTCATATACATCATATTTTAGTATGACATGTGATTTTACCTCTTCTTTATCCCCATATTTGTTTAAAGAATTTTAATTATATGCAACTTACTATTTTACCAACACTCGCTCCACTTTTAAACACGTCGTAAGGGTAAAGAATACGCTCGTAATGGTGCCGTAAAAGAGAGCCAATGCTCTTTCCTGGTGGGTACCCCATGCGAAAAGCCACTTTAGACCATTTTCTCTCCCTGGTTACAACATCCATTCCACCTTCATGATGGACATGCTAGAAAATATAGAACACACTTAACAGTTGAGAAAACATCAATGTATAAACTTTGCAAGAAATTACATTATCATGATATTTTCTTGACAGCAGTATCTTAATTTAAAACTTGCATAATTGTATCATCCATCCAATCAGCTACATTGCTATAAATTCAAAAACATAAAATTAGGAAATTACAAATGTGACTGCAAAATGATCATGTACTTCATTTTCAGACCTGTGTTTTGAAAATTTGAAATTGAAATTTGTAAATGATAAGTACAAAGCTACCACGGATGAAGAATTCTTGAATGGTTAAAAATCTACGTTTTGTTTGTTGTTAAGTACAAAGCTACCACAGATGAAGATTTCTTGAATGGTTAAAAATCTACATTTTGTTTGTTGTTAAGTACAAAGCTACCACGGATGAAGAATTCTTGAATTCTTAAAAATATACATTTTATTTGTTAAGTACAAAGCTACCATGGATGAAGAATTCTTGAATGGTTAAAAATCTACATTTTGTTTGTTGTTAAGTACAAAGCTACCATGATGAAGAATTCTTGAATGGTTAAAAATCTACATTTTGTTTGTTAAGTACAAAGCTACCACGGATGAAGAATTCTTGAATGGTTAAAAATCTACATTTTGTTTGCTGTTAAGTACAAAGCTACACAATGAGCTATCTGTGCTCTGCCTACTGTGGATATTAAAATCACAATTTTAGCATTATATGCCCTCAAACTTACTATTCAGCAGCTTGTATAGAAAATAATATCATTTAGTGCATCATTCATACCAATACAAGTGTGATCTTGTGTTTGTGAAACATGCATTTAAAGAAGCTCCCAAATGTATCATGTAACAATCCTAAAAATAAATCAAAATCCCCAAATTGAAAAAAAAAATCAAGCATTAGTATTTACTCTTGCCTGTAATAAGAAACTTCAAGCACTTACATGATGCAGTAGATACAGGTCTAAAAGTTTCCTTTCTACATTTGGAATTTTCAGTGAAGAGCCCTGCAAGTATTGATATATATTTTAGTGTGACATCGACAGTTTAAACATTCATAAAAATGACCAATAAAAAACATACAGATCCTCTGAGTGTTGACATCTACTTTAGTATGATATTAACAGTTTGAAAATTCACAAAACTGACCATAAGAAACAAATTCTGTAAGTGTTAACATATATCTGAGTTTATGATATCTACAGTTTAAAAATTCAGAAAAACAGTTTGTATGACTTTTTATAGCCTAAATAAAGCTTATCATGTATGGCTCCTTCCAGATTCACACACTATTATTTTGATTCCTTAAGACAAAACATACCTGTAATTCCCAAAACTTTGCAATCTGATCCAGAAAATTTAACTTTATCCTCGTAGTAGCCTGTAAAATAAACAATAAAAATTACTATATAGTATCTTCTTACAATAGCTCTTAGTTATTTGTTGTTTTGTTTTCCAGTATATGGATTCTGAGCTCCACAAGTCAACTGGCTTACAGTAGCTCGGGAGTCTAGCCAAATTCCTTATTTAATAATCAAGAAATAAAAATTGAGACACGTAACATCTGACTTGAAATACTGAAAATTAGTTATTGAATTATTCTAGAGGATCATTTTCTTGTATGTAATATTTAACTTGCATTATAATTACTCTCAAAATGTTTAATTTTAAGTTATGTATTAATTTTTGTCCTTTCTTTATTTTGATACACTAATTATATGTTATTTTATTTTAACAATTCTAAATACAGTTTCTCTCATGGATTATTATTATTAACTCGTTTATTTTCAATTATTTTCTTTATTTCATGTATTAGTCACACAAAATCATTGTTGTTATGATCATTAGTTTACTTATCTTTCACTGTCCACATTGTTATCTATGCAATATCTATTTTGATTCCAGGTATTTTGTTCCAATATTCTCATAGATCCTCCAGTGGTTATATAATCTACATCCATATGTATTCAGGACTGAAACATCTATTTTGACATTAAAAGTGTAAAAATTTTAATTCTGTGTGTATAACTTATGTGTTTCTTTTCTTTTTTTTTGCTTTTTATTGTATGTATTATTTTCCCTTATCAAAAGATAAATATCCTGCTTACTCCCTGTTATCAGTTCTTCAAAAAAATTCCAACCTTCTCAGGATGGTGTGCTACTCTTAAAAAACAATACTGTTAGACCATAAGACCACTTGAAAATATTACTGACCTCAAACTTTAATATTAACAAAAAATTAATATAAATTTTAAATGGAGAGAAATACTACTAGTGAACTGAACTTGGGAAAACAAAAAATTAATGCATGATACAACAGAAGTCAAAAATAAAAATACAGTGGGATAGTAAATATCCAAGTCAGCATAATAAAAACTAATAATCCTAGTAAAGTACGTCTATGTATTGTGCTTCCTTGCATAAAAGGTAGAGTAAATATCTTTCTGAAACAAAAAACATGACTTACTTCAAGTTCATTTAATCTTTGGACACGTGGAGTAAACTTGAAATTGTCCACATCTACTGTAAATGGTGGCTGCCATTCCTGAAATTAATTTCTTATGAGTATTTACTTTTTTTTGCAGTCATCATCCCCTAATTCCCAGAAACTATGCTACATCACTAAACACTGAGATGTTGTTAAAAATTATTTGTATACATTCTGCACTACTACACATTACTTCTTAATAAATGCTTAGGATTTACAAAGAAAAAGACCAAAGAGAGCCTTTAAATCTTTGAAACTGAAGTTGAGTTAAGCCTAGTGTCTAGGTATACATGATAACTTCAATAAAAATTCAATATTTATTAAGTATACATGTCACATATTTTGTCTAACTTCCCATATTTTTCCTTGAATTAGGAATTTCACATTTATCAACAATCACCAAGTTTCTAAACATTCCAAAAATTACATACAAGTATTCTAATTTTATTTTTTTATTAGTGTATTAATGCAGTAAATCTTCCATGAATTTAAAATGTTCTGTTACAAAAAAATGCTAATATTTGTGACAATAAAACAGATGGTGCAGAAAGTAAGCAAAGACATTTTTCAAATTATTTAAAAAACTAAAATACACAACTTGTATTAATTAAGGAAAAGCTTAAACCTTTGTGTAACAGGCAATTGAGGGGAAATGTTCTGTAAACTTTAATATAGCTGCATGCAAGGCATGAATAATCAAGACACTGTATTTCTGGTCACAAAAAATATAGCTTTTACATATAAAAATCAATGTGTACCGCTACTGTTTCAGATAACCTTAGTAACACGTAACATCACCTGGTTCTAGAACTTCCTCTGATATATTTATGCAAGTGTAATTTTCTGCATACTATGCACACTCAAGAACTGAATACTAGATTTTTTTATCTTTATTTAATTTTAAATGCTTCTTGGCGTAACTTCAAACATATTGTAATATCAAAGTTTACAAATGTGGATATATAATTAGATGAAAATAACTAACATAAAAACAAACAAAAAGTTAACTATGAAACTTGAAAAACAAGGAAGTTAAACACATATTTTGAAATATAAAACACCAGCAAAGGAAGGTATCTGGAAAAACCAGGCTTAGCTTCAAAATTAATGAAATAAATGGAAATGTGAATTACCCCCTACTATTTCCAAGTGACTTCCAACCTAGAATTATCTGCATAATTGCTTGTCCATTTAATCTTGTTCCTTTGTTGTTGTTGTCAGTTTTGTTGGGGTTTTTGGGGGGGAGGTCCACTTCAGATTGTTTTATCACATTTCCTCATAATTAATCAGCAGTTCTTCGTGGGGGGGAGGTCCACTTCAGTTGTTTTACCACATTTCCTCATAATTAATCAGCAGTTCCTCGAGGGGGGGAGGTCCACTTCAGTTGTTTTACCACATTTCCTCATAATTAATCAGCAGTTCCTCATAGCATCTTGAGAGATGAGATAATGTGGTTTGCTCATCCACTCTCAAAATCTCATTTAGCATGAAAGAACAGAAAAACAATCAACATCACGACATTTCTCATGACATCCGAAGCTAATTTGTAAAATATTCCGTGCTAAAGATGCTTTGCGGGCTTTATGGCATAACCAGGTTTCATTCGCCCAAGCCCCTGGGCAGTTGCACCCCTGTCAGCGGGCCTGTGCAAACTTAACTTGCAAATGGCTTGATGGATAAAATATTTTTATTCTTCACTTGAATATCACCTTGCACTAAAACTTGTCAGACTCTGAGTCAGACTGACTTTGACATTTTCACAAATATATATTTAGTACAAAAACTTTAGTAAAACCTACAGTTTTTTCTGTACATCAGATTTATACTGTTGACTAAGAGCTTGCCACATTTCATGATGATACAATTTGTAAATTCAGAATTACGGTCAACATTACTTTTCCAATACAGTTAATGGCAATATCCTATCTAAAATGAAAGAAGCTGTGATCTACATCTAGGTTTATTCAATCAATAAGTGGACGGTTAATTCATTACTGAAATTTATTGAATATACATATGCATAGGTCATCAGGTGTCCAAAACCCATTATGTAAACAAAGCATAATTATCACTGTGATTTTTTTGGCTATGTTCTCAATGATTTGTTTAAAAATTTAGAACAAACACATTTACATACCTAACAAAGAAAAGCAATTTCTTAAAATAATAAATATTATCACAGTATTTGTACTATAATTATGCACACGTATTTACAGAATAAATAGAACATTTGTTATCATTATTACAGCTAGCTCTTCATCCAAAACATTACCTGTCCTAACTATGGAATTAACAGCTAACATTAACTTTTATTTTTTTTATATTTACTTTTTCTGTCATATTCATTTTTTTACTTCTATTGATTTTAAAGAGAAGAATATTTTGAAAAAACTTAGAAACTTTAGAGTAAAGATCCTGGCTTATTCTAAAATGTCACAAAAGTTTAACAAGATGGTGGACAAAGATTATTCACAATAAAGTACATGAAACAGAACCCAAGAAACCAGTAGTGATATAGCCCATTAATGTTATGACTAATTAACATAAAAATAAGCATTTGAGCAGAAAATTATTTTATGTTACGTAAAAATTAATGAAAATGTAGTACTGACAAAAACCTTAAAAATAATGCTTAATTCAGTGCTTCCATTAGTGGATGCCATGGAAATCCCTGAGGTGTCCATACTTTGATTTCATAAGCCGACAAAATCTTTATGGTGCCTGATGAACTGTTTTATTGCTTTGAGCATAAAATTTTTTTTAATGTTTTAATACTTTTATTAAATACAATTTTGACAGGCTTAAGATTTTTAAATTTTCTTTTGAATACTTATAGTTCACTTCTAATGATCACAAGAGTAAACTACAACTTTCACTAGTCAAATTCTAACATTAGGGTAGCAAGATATGTGATTGTTAGGCTATTATCTTAGTTCCTCAAAATACGAAGAAAAACATCAGTACCATTCATAATATTTCATAGACACGTCTCAAGCAAAGTTACTCATACACAAATAAACAAAACAAACACTATACAGATGTCCAATCCAAACAAACTGGTTTGGAACATGTAATGTTGTGCAGTATGACAAAATTTCACAGTTACACCACCACCTAGCATACAGTATGTACAATCTCCTGAAACCTTCCGTTTCTACAAATTAGTGGATGTTATGGTATCTGTAAAATGATGCCACCAGTCTTCTTAATTTACTAGCTTATACATGTACATGCAAGTAATAAATTCCAAAATTATAATTTCTTTTTTCAAGTCAATACATGCTAATTTTGTGCTAAAAGTATAAATTTGGAAGATAATTTGATATTTATTAATTCTCTGCACATATGATTTTGCAATAAAATTTTATACTGTACCTAACAGCAGCCTCATATACTAAGCCTTGATACAGTAAACATTTTAATATGTACATTTTTCTGATATGTATCAAACTAATGTCTACACAAAGAAACATACTGCTCAGTGATTTTTTCACAATCAAAAGTCACAAACTTACTAAATGAGATAATTCTTTTTTCAATGTTATCTTTTACTCAGTAACACTATATGCAATATATAAAAAGTTGTTTGGAGGGGTTTGTACACTGTATTCATTGCTGGACACAAGAAAGCTGGGAAATTATTACGGATTGCATGTAACTACTATAAGAATAAACATATATCAATAAATTGTAGCATATTGCTTTTAACAAACAAAACCTGACAACTACACACCATTTTATTGTAGAGAAACCTCATTAAAAATTAAGCACATGCTCCAATTTTTTTTCTGTCTTTATTCATAACTAAGTTATATTTCTTGTTGATTATCCATTAAATGGCATTCTTCTTCCAATGACCTTCTATGTCAATAATCCTACTGCTGCTTTATAACTAATGTGAATTATAGAGTTCAATGTTATCATAAATTTTTATAATTTCAGCATTCTTTATTTTTATGCATAATTTCCAAAACTTTTAGGGGCTACAATATGACCAGGGTTCACTGCTACAGATATTGGGAAAATTACTCCATCCTTCATTGTTCGACAGATCTGTTTGGCCCAAAGACAAATTCACTACTGGAAAACATGGTTTTGATCTTGAATTCAGAATCATGACAATATACATATACTGCTGTGCAAAAGTCTTAAACACATTCAGGAGTTACAATTTATGTTTGTAATGAACAACAACAATTCACTCAAAACTTCCACTAGTGTTTTCTACTATTAAAACAACTTTGACTGTTATTAGTACAGCTTAGTTTTAGCAAGAAACCAAGCTTATCAGTTAACAACCGTTAATTCACATTAATCAGAATCTTCAAAACTTATCAAAACAACTCAAAGTAAACTATACAAAAGCAGCCAATATGAAGTGTAGTAGTAGTAGTAGCTAATCCATCATATTTACCAATCAAAACTAATTGATGACTCACTGTCAGGTATTTCTTGTCATTAACATCATTTGTTCCTCTCTAAACATTTACAAAAACTGTATTTTAAATAACTTTTTTAAAGAATTCTCGAACAAGACTATGAATATAGTAAACCAATCCCGTAAACTGAAAAGTAACCTCACAAGTAACAAGATTAAATCCATTTATAATCTGAAAAAAGGCACTAACATTCAAATTATAAAAGCTGATAAAGGCAACACCACTATCATCATGAACAATTCAGAATACATCGATAAAATGAACGACATCCTTCCCGATAAAAAGAAATTCAAAGCCATCCCAAACAACCCAATAAACACACATGAAAAACAACTAAACACAACTTTATTACAAATGAAAAAAGTTAACCTAATTACTGACAATCTTTATTTTTGTCTACGAAAAATTATTCATGCACACCACAACTCTATGGCATTCCTAAACCACAAAACAGGACTGCCCCCTACTACCTATACTGTCCACATATGACTCATTCAACTACAATCTTGGCAAATACATAGCCTGGGCTCTCACACCATATGTAACATCTGCAGGTTCATTTTTTAAATATGCCTTCAGTTTCAAATATACACTAGAACAACTAAATTCGAAAGCCTT